TCGTTGCAGTCCAGCTCTTCAGAGAAACATTCACACATCCCCCAAATACAGACATGTCAAGAACACAGCGGTGCAACGACTGTCCGAAACCATGGTAACCATGTCCAAATGACGTTTGGCGATAGCTCACACCCATTATTCTGTAACTTGTCCGAGACGTCGAGTGATGCTGCTGTCTAACCCCCCCTTAAGAGGATTCCTTATCCGTTTTACAGTGTAATCTGTAAAGATAGTTTGGGTGCTGAGAAACTTTAATGTTATGTATTTGGAGATACTGTGGTTGGATGTAAAAGGCTTGATGTTCAGCGGGGAGGGGGCGGAGGAAGAAGGAGAGCGGTCCTTCCCTTTCTTGATCCGATCGTCAGTCATCCATTCCCTGCAGTTATTTAACTGTCACTAAGTAGTGATGCTAATGACGTTTACACCTGTTTAGTTTTTGTCTTTTTTACCGTGTTTACAGTAGACATTCCTTGTGTGTTGTTTGTATTTATTTATGATTATTGGTTTAAGATTGGGGGAAAAAAAAAAATAATGTAAAATCTACAGTACTTTGAACACCTGTGGGAGTGCTTCAGCATTAAACAAGGATCTCAGACTATCATTAAGAGGTAGAGTAAAAAAAAAAAACAAGAAAAAAAATAGCTATTATATAAATTACACCTATTAAGCGGAATGATAGAGCACTAAATATTCTCCGAGTTTTGTGTTAAGAAAATTTTTTACTAGATGAAAGATTTCACGATCTCCATTGCGCTTAAAGTGCAGGGGGTTAGAGTACGAGTCAGTTAACAGTATATAGTCGATTCTGTGCCTAGGGTTTTATTTTGCAATGGATCAGTTTCCTGACTAGTTGAAAAACACTTCATCCACGAATCTGAAGCGTCGCACTGGGTGGTGGGCTCCATTTGCTTTAAGCTTGGCATGCCATTGACTCACTGACTGTAATCAAGGCTGCCTTTACTCTGAATGTGAAAGAGTTGTCTTCATGTTGCACACATCTTTCCACACTACAGTTCCTCAGCGAGAGGGAGTGGGGGGGGTGGGTGGTCTGCTTGCTGGTTGCCGATGTTGTTTGGGGGGGTAGGGGCGGCGAAGGGTCACTGATTTGATGTAAATTAATTGTATAAAAGATCCCGAGGACCAGGGTGGAGCGGAGGAGCACTGTTGATCGGTGCTCTGTGTATATAAAAACTGACTGTTCTTTGAGTGCAAAAGTGAAAGATGTATGAAATATGAAAGCAATTCAATCAAATTTGACTCTACCTAAGTTTGATTCAGGATATTCTCTGCGTTTGTCTCCGCAGATATTTTCTTTATGTAATTAGAACGTGTAGCAGACAATGACTGAAGTCTTTTCTTTCTTTTACAAATAAAGAGCAGCTTCCACAAAACTACTGTTTGTTTATGTTTTGTCAAGGTGAACGTTAAAGAGCCCATCTGGTGAAAATCAAGTTTTTACTTTGTCAGCATAGTGTTTTGTTTTTGTCTTTTTATATGCAGGCAGATGCAGAATCAACAGTCGGCTACAGATGGCTCCAAAACATAGATTTAGACAGGTGGTGTTTCATACGCAACAAGTTTCAGATAATGAGACCTGACTGCACTTCTCATTTTGCTGCAGGTGAAAAACAAACACTGGCTTGTTTGTGATTGGTTTAAAGTGATAGTCATCTTGGGTGGAGCTAAACCCAGGATGCAGTGATGGTGCCCCCTCAAAATAGTTACGGGGGAAATTGTTTTTGTTGTACTTCTGCACACAGGAAGGTGAGCACTGTTATCAAAATGGCTAATTCACACCTGGTTGCACGATCCATATCTTTCAGAAAACTTGTTTGTTTCAACACCACTGATGGGTTTATACCTGTAGTCAACATCTGGTGAGTCAGGTTAGTATGTAACAAACCAAAGGAACCAATTCCTTTCTTCCAACTCCTTTATAGGGTGAGGTCTTTCAGTGTCTGGTTGGTTCTACATGTACAGCTGAGTTTCTTCCATACTACAGCTTGCTATTGTGTTGTTCAGAGTCGTATTGCACCACTTCTGGGTGAGCTGGTGTGCTTGAACTGCAGCAAATGGAGTGAGAGCTGCACATTCAAGAATAAGAGAATGGTGTAGAGTTATATTTAAGGCATAAAGGGACTATTTTTATTGAGAAAACCCCCTAAATACAGCCTTTGATACACAGATGACTTTTATCAATGACCAGAGTGGGACTTCAATGTAAGTTTAACTGAGCACACTAGAGTCCATTTACACGAGTACAGGAACATCTAAATTCAGTCATTTTAGTTGTTTTTAGTACGGTTTAGATTAGTGCTAGTTAAGATTTTTCAAAGCCTAACAACATATAGCAGCTCTTGACATAACAGATAATTACTAAATTCTATTAAATGCTATCAACATAAGAGATATTTGTTGACATTTTATGTATCTAGACCCCAAATTCATCTCCAGTTTCCCCCTGCCGCTTATCCAGAAATATACATGGATCCTGGTTTGCTGGGGCACTTTTGCACCTTGTAAACCAAACAGATGAAGCACAGTGAGTCTTAAAATGTCTGACACTTGGAATGTTTTCAAGGAAGACTCTTTAAGATCAGGGACCCAGTGCAACAGCGTCAGCCTTTCCCAAAGAAAGTTATAATTAAATTCCCACAAACCATTTTGTTAAAGGTTTTTGAGGGCCTGTGAGGAACAGGGCTGCAGGACAGCTGCCCACTTTGTTCCATTTATTGGCATTCCAGCCTGCAAACTAGACACGATTCGGTTTACTTTTCCTCTGATGTTCTCACATAGGCCTCGTTCGTATCAGTCACAAGCTACAAAATCATCAGCATAATTCATGGATTATTCACGTATCCCCAAAACAAGAATTCAGAAAGCGGGAAGTATTCCACCTGGACTTTACAAGTAGGTCAGCAGAACATCCCAGGAAGGATGTTTTGCAGCTTCTGTTTTCCACCTTTTTTTTTTGGTTTTTATTTCTTCTCTTTCTGAGCATGAAATCAGGAGGGAATCAGGTGTGGAAACCATGGATGTGAAATGGAAGCAGAGTCGCATCAAGGTCACAGAGGGGATGTGTATTGCCTGTACATTTAAAAAAAAATGTAAAAGTGCAGAACAGATGGAAATAAAATGAAATACCTTCCTGTGGGGAAGCTCACACCCTTTTGTCAAACATCACATCAACCTGTGTGAACTGGGGACACCTGCTGGGCGCTTCCTGCCATTACAGCACAAATGGATCAACGCCCTTCCCTGAAATTTTCATCAGTGAGGTAAAAAGTGAAACCTCGAATTCCTCATTAAACATCTGAAATGAAACGATGGGAACAGCAGACCGATAAAAGAACAACAACCTGAAGTGTTGCCTCTTCATCCTGCCTCTCTCCGCATCAGATCCTCCCCATCTTTACGCACCGATCCGCCCCCTCTGCAGCGCTCCTGTCCGGGCACTCCAGCGCATCCAGCAGACCTGCGGAGGAGCCACACACTCTCTGTGTTTTTTGAGGGGTTTTTCACCACCACGGCGAGATGGGAGTTGCAGGAGCGGTTTGTGACAGGCCTGCAGGCGCACAGTAAGGTAGGCAAATACTAGAAGTAGGTAAAGGCAAGTTGTGTTATTGTTGTTGGGTTTGAGGTGAGAAGGAAGGAAGGACTCCTAAGAGCAGGTAAACTTCTGTCACTCCTGATCTTATGATTGAAAGGAAGATTTGCCTCGTTTAAAGCCAACTCTACAATCTTCAGTTAAATTAAATGTAGTTTGCTAAACAGAAGAAAAAAAACAACTGTTGCACCCTGAAGCTTTCACACTTTTATCTCTGAACAATCAGCAGCTGCACAGAACACAGTATCAGATCTTGTGTCAGTTTACTGTCAGGCAAAAGCAACTTTTTTTTTGTAGTTTACTTGTGGTGTGAACAGCTTCTTCCCGAAATAAACTTGCAGAAAAGGAATACAAGATGTATTTAAATGCTTCAAAGTGCTGAATCAGTGGTGGTGAAGGTACTCAGGTCCTTCATTAAAGCAGAAATACCCATCTGAAAATACTTTTTACAACTAAAAGTCTGTCATTTAAAAGCCTATTTGAAGTGCAGAAGCATGACTAACAACAGGAACATGCCTCCTGTGACTGATTTTTTATCAGATGTGACTTTGTAGATCGTTGTGTCAGTATCGTTTTACTGTTGCAGTTGGTTCAGGGTGGCCAGTGGTTTCCAACATGAGGGCAGGGCCCCTCCTTGGGATCACATGAAAGGTCTGTTGCTGTTGAATTGGGAGACAACTGATAAAGTTGCAAAGAAGAAAAAAATGACACAAAAGGGTATTCTTTTCAATTTAACATTTTCTCCAGTCTTAACTATTGTGTATGAACTATCAGGAGAAATGTAGCTGTTATGAACTGTGGGATTAAGGACACTTTTTGGGGGAGTGTGAGGCGTCTCAAACCATAAAACAGCAGAAAACCACAGGTTTGATCGATAATAAAGTGGATTTTATACATTTTATCACTTGTTTTGTGATGTAAATCTTCTGCAAAGTAACTAAAATCGTCAAGTAATGCGGCGAAATGTAGCCCAGTGCTTCAGCAAAGTACTTTCCATCAGTGTGCAGAATAAATACAGAAACAATAATTCTCACTTTGCAATTAACTTACTTGCTAGAATTATTTTTAATGGGGTCAAGTACTACAGATGTTTCTGGTTTAAATTGATCTAAGAGGTGCATTCGTTGCTCTTTACCACAAACCTTAATGGAAGTAAGTAGAGTGCACTGTTTGAAGAGTTGCATGCTGGTCATTTATGTCAACTCACACAGTACGTTAGTGGCTGATTGTCCTGTCTTTGGAGATGGAGTTTCCAAATTTTCCTAAAAAGGTTATTTTGCTTCTCTTTGTTGTGCAGCTGTAACATGGAGGAACTCTGACGGAAAACTTTTACTTTGTGTGATTTGTCCGACAGCGAGCAGCCCCATCGTTCGTTGAGCGTTTCTACACCTGAGAGAAGAAGCAGGAGGAGGAACCATGATCGACCTGAGCCACCTGACGGAGGAGGAACAGGGGAAGATAATGACGGTGCTGAGGAGGGACGCTGAGCTGAAGAAGGCCGAGGAGGAGAGAATAAGGTAGAAAAACTCAAGTTTTGATCATATATATAATGTTTTTTTTTTTTTTTTAAATCACATTCAGACAACCTTAAGCGATTGTTTTCTGTCCTCTTCTGCTCTTTCCTACTCGAGTTATTTTACATGAGCTGAAACATTTAAGTTAATGTCATGTCGCTAATGTCATTTTATCGATTCAATAAGCGCTCCCAAGTTCCTTCTGAGAGGAGTTCTTTGTGGGACGGTCCAAATAATACTCGTCTGCCCATAATAGAATAACGCAATAACAGCTTTGCCAGATACAGACGCTGCCTCCGCCGCTGAGAAACCTCAATGTGAGATGAGCAATTAGATTACAGCCGAGTTGAAGTCCACACATGGGAGAGGATCATGCTGGTCTGATGGACGAGAATAGAAACCCCTCAAAGGCCTCAGTGATGAGAGACACGTCAGCTGTGACGAGCCTGATGGACAAATATTTTAATTTGGCAGTGACTCCTGGTACGACTCCTTTCAGTCTGGAATTAAAGAAAAATGTTAAATCTTGCAACTTAAATTAAATATCTGTTCTGTCCCGGCTCGTTGTTGCACCTCTGGGAGGGTCAGACATTCCTCACTGTGTATGTTCAGGGATTGTGAAGACAAACAAGAAGCTCTGACCTCTCCCATGTCCTGGAGTAAAAGGACAACCTCGCAGCAACGTGTGAAAACCGACAAATAACCTAAATATGTCATGTTTGTAAAAATGACTTTCAAAAGTCAAAAAAGGCCGTGAAACAATGACCTTTCATTGTGAGTTTAATGGAACTGGCCGGCTGACTTTTTCATCAGCGGGAGGCTGAATGCTCGCTGTGTCTCCAGCAGCCCAGTGTAAAAGGATTAAGCCAACAGCCTGTAATAATGTGCTACCCTTTCTTCACATGACCGCCGTGTTTCTCCGTCCAAAGGGAAGATGAGCTGGAGTGGAATTATTTTGTTCTCCTCTTTGATTTAATTTCGACTTGATGAGAATGTTTTTTCCGAATTCCTTCGCTCAGATCAATCGCGTGCAGCTGATGTGGAAGCAGTGCGTTTGTGGTGCAAGTAAATGCAAAACTTGTAGCAACAAAAATGTTGTGCAACAAGTAGAAATAACCTAAACCTTAAACAAAACTACCTCCATTTCCTTCAGGTGGTTTATCTTTCCTTTGTCTGCCCCTGGCTTTGTGTTTCATCTCATATTTGGAGATTAGCGCTGCTTAAACTGAATTAAAACGGTGTCAGATTCTCCATTCACCCTAAAGCGAGCATTGTCTTGCTTTTGTTCTTTTTGTGTGTCTGCAGCCATTCACCGAGACGTGCCACTCAGCTTGGATTAACGTGGTGAACAAAAGAGCTATAAATGACTGTACAAGGAAAAACCTCTTGACTTGATCGTTCGCACATGTCTCTTTTGTGTTTGTCCCGACAGGAAGCTGGAGAAAATACTTCACAGCGACCCGCAGACGGACACCAACCTCAAGTACATGACGGGGGAGTGGTTTTACGAGGCCAAGTCCCTCAGACACCAGGACAAGATCCACGGCTCGGAGATCATCCTGGCCTCCATGAAACAAGGGAAGGCGGTTGGTTTAGGTGCGTTTGTTGTTTACTGTGCTGCTGGGTTTAATTTAATGCAGACTTTGTGATCAAACAAAGAATCCAGCCTCATTTTTGACCCCAGTGCTTTGATATTTCCTCTTTTACTTCTGATCTAGTAGCAGGTTGTCTTTAGAGGTACTTTAATGATCCTCCGTTTGCTTAGCTTTGTAAAATGTTTGTGGACTTTTAAAGATGGAGTTTTTAGTTAGCATCAACACTCCCGCTTGACATGAGCATGGTGGTCCGTGTAAGTGCTGTTCAGGCATCTACCCAGGAAGCTGTCCTAGATTGAGGGCCTCAGCAGCCTTTCATCTGGCTTGTACTTTTCAGTGGCGTGTTGGTTACCTACCGGTTATCCGAAGGCATATGACCAAACTTTATTCACGGGACAGTGTGTGCTAAAGGGTTACGGACTCGAGCGCACGATTCAAGGCCACTTGGCTGCTCCAGAACCTTGATTCTGTGGTAAGACATAAGTCAGGACAACGGAGGCACTGGAGAGTTGCAGTTTGGTAGATGGCCGTTGACTCATTAGGAGTTCGTCCGCCTTCTGCAGATATTATTCTTGGTTCTACAGGGTGTCTACCCACCCACCTACACTGTTTGGAAACAAACAGGTAGGTTGAGCCGGTTTAGTTGCCAGCTGCCCAAACATGAACAGGTAGTACCGGGTTACTGGTTACTGGTTACTGGTTACTGGTAGCAGTCAGTCTTACTGACCAATATGGCTGGTCAAGCTGACTGACCTGACTTTTAGTTAGCATGTGCCAGATTTACCGCCCTGCATGCTCAACTTTCCCCCCTGTTCTGTGCACAAACATGAACGTTCAGCGAGGCGTGTTCTTTGGTGCCACTTTGTTTCCCGTTTACAGAATCAAATCTGTGAACAAACACTGGATTTCTTCAGTACACACAGAACAGAGTGGACCCTGAGAGGAGACATTCATCAAATCTGATAAAAACCCTATTGGATTAGAATCACATCTTCCACTTGGAAAATACCACATTTTAGTGTTTTCATCATCGGGATGGACTGTGACTCAATCAGTGCCCTGGGGTCAACAATGAGGCATGGAAGGAATTCCACTTTGGCGTCTGCCGAAAATGAAAAGTAATAAGGTTTGATTGAACTGTATACGTCAACTGCACAGTGACGTTACTGACAAACTCGTCTCCGCTGCAGATGGATCCCTTCGACTTGACAGATCCAAGGCGCTCAGCAGTCGAGGTTCAGACCTTGTTCCTCCAATGAAACCTGCCAGATGTAGGGAAGGACTACAGCCACAGGAGATCAAGTATTAAATCCTTTCCTGTTCACAGATTCATTTCCTTATTTTCCAGTCCATGTCACGGTTCAGGCAGGTTGGAGACTCTGTGTGATAACTGCATAAATGTTTCCTAATCTTACAGTATAGTCAGACAACATAAAATACCGAAGCAGCTCCTCTTTCTTAACAATATAAATTTGTGTGTGCGTGTGTTTGTGTACACTGTGCGTTGTGTCTTGTGACTCAACCTGTGCAAACATAGGTGGTGCTGACTGGGATTGCGACTGTTTGATTGTCCAGCAGACAGCTACTGTAACACTAAAAACACTGCAAGGACAACAGAAAATTTTAGCAAAGTGTTTGACTCAAAGGAGCTCAACAGAATTACTTTGGACAAGAAGTTTTGAATTTTTATGGTTATTTTAGGAAT